CACAGCAGAGAGCTGGCCTGGAAGAGGGGCAACCGGGACAGAAATCCGGCGCCCCGACTGGGACTAGAACAGAGGGTTCCTTTTAACATCCCACCTGTGCATTGCAACTTTTTTTCCTGCCAGTAATTAGCTTGGTTATTATAATATATACATAATATATTTACTTATTTCATTCCACTATACACATAAAGTATTTCAGAATCCATATGGCTGTAAGTAACAAACTTAGCAGAGTATGTTGTTTCTATACAGTTATGTTTATCTTGATTGTTATAATTTCCGTTCAGAACACTGTTTTCCAAGGCTACTTAGAGCATCTCCTTCCTTCCCACGCCTCCAGTGTGGTTTTATCATATGTAATACACATGCCGTGGGTATTACAGTTAGATTCATTCGTCACACTCTGAATTCCATCCTGCTAATTGGCCTTCGTAAAATTTACACTCGGTGAAATTTCCTCCTTATGGTGTATGGTTTACAGGCTTTTGGCAAAGGTATGATGTGATGTCTACCATAGGGCTATGTGGGACAGATACATTGTCCCCAGAATTCCTTGTTCTACCTTGTTGTAGTCAATTTCTCCTCCCACACCCACAATTTAGCACTTAATTATCTATTTTTCATCCTAGTGTTTTCCTTTTTATCAGAATGTCCCATAAATGGAGTCACACAGTATGTAGCCTTCTGAAACTTTTACTTAGCAAAGTGCATTTAAGATTCATTCATGCTGTTACTGCATCGGTAGTTTGTTCTTTTTTATTGCTAAGTGGTGTTCCATCTTACGGCCGTAGCACAGCTGTGTAGATATTCACTATTGGGAGAACCTCTGAGTTGTTTCCCGTTTTTGACAATTTTGAATGAAACTTCTGTAAACACTTGAATGTGATTTTTATGTAAACATTTCTCTCTTTTTTTTTAAGATTTTATTTGAGAGGTAAAGTTACACACAGAGAGAAAGGTCTTCCACCTGCTGGTTCACTCCCCAAATGGCCGCAATCGCTGGAGCTGGGTGGGTCCGAAGCCAGGAGCCAGGAGCTTCTTCCAGGTCTCCCACGCGGGTGCAGAGGCCCAGGCACTTGGGCCATCTTCCGCTGTTTTCCCAGGCCATAAGCAGTGAGCTGGATTGGAAGAGAAGCAACCGGGACACGAACCTGTGCCCATATGGGATGCTGGTGCCGCAGGAGAAGGCTTAGCCTACTACGCCGTAGCACTGGCCCTGTGAACGTTACTTTTCAATTTATTTGACTAAATAACTTAGGAGGAAAGCATTTAGTATTTCACCATTAAGATGGTGCAAAGCCATAGCTGTGCGTGTTTGTGTGCTTTCTAAATGCTCTTCATTAACTTAAAGAATTTTCCTTCCATTCCTAATTTCCTTTATTTGATTTTTTTTGACAGGCAGAGTTAGACAGTGAGAGAGAAAGACAGAGAGAAAGATCTTCCTTTTCCATTGGTTCACCCATGCTGATTTTTTTTTCAGTACTTTTTGTTTATCCATTGAGATTATCATGTGATATTTCATCTATTGTCTATTATTATGGTGAATTACATTGGCTCCCAAACATTGAATGTTGGATCAAATATATTTTTTAAATATTTATTCATTTAATGGGAAGCCAGAATTACAGAGTGAGAGAGAAAGAGAGAGAGAGAGAGAGAAAGGGGGGGGGGACTTCCATTCACTGTTTCATTCCCCAAAATGGCCTCATCGGTCAGGAGCTTCTTCCAGGTCTCCCACATAGGTGGCAGGGGCCCAAGCACTTGGGCCATCTTCCACTGCTTTCCCAGACCATTAGAAAGGAGCTGGATCAGAAGTGGAGCAGCTGGGACACAAACCA